ACACACACACACACACACACACACACACACACACACACACACACAGACCTAGGTCTGATAAAGAGGCTCTTAAACCTCGAGGAAGTCTGTGTTGGTCTTTGAGGGGGACAGTCCTTAATTCTGAATACAACCTTGAACTCAGCTTCCCCCCGCCCCCTCACTGGTTCCCCCTCTCTCATTACTGGAATCATTCTTCCTCCCAGCTTACTTTCTCCAGGGTCCCTTCTCTTGTTTTTCTCGCCCTCCCTTTCAGGAGTTTGGGCCGAGTCCTTTTCCAGTGGGGAAGTCCGGGGCTTCTCCCTCTCTCTCCCTCTCACAGCGCTGACTGACTCCAAACGTCTTGTCTGTGAAGCTTCATTAGAATTCATTTGTTTGAATGGGTTCATTTCTCCTTCACCCACTGCCCACCCTCTCCTCCCCTTTTTTTTCCAAGCTCGGGAGACATGCAATATTAGCATAAAAATGTCCTCTGCCTCACCTTGAGTAACTGCATTGTTTTCTTGCTTTTTTTTTTTTTTTACACCGTGGACACGTTTCTGCATACGTGCATGCAAAAACAAGACAAATTTAATTTCTTGCACATTTCTATCAACATTATTTTGGTCTAAAGGTTGTAAAACGAACGCAATTGCTTCATATTTTCATGACTGTTAGAGCACTAAGTGTGAAAAAACTAAGAAGGAATATATTATGACCTCCTCATAAACACTGGAAATATGCAGTGGAAAATATGTGAAGCATTTAGTACTACATTCACATATACACAGCCCGCTTAAGCCAATAACACAAACCATTCTAATCTGCACTAACCATTAAAATAAATTTGCGGGGTATGTGGAGGAATGGGGTCAAATCTTCCACTTAATAACTGTTCAAACCTCCTTTAGCAGAAAAGACAAAGGAGGATCGGACCTGCACAATGTTCAGAACAAACTCTGAACCATTACTTTATTCAAGACTGCTTCAGCAGGCCCACATTGTCGTGGTGTCTGGTGTTTCACAGCCTCTATATTGTGATAAACATACTATACAGTAAGACCTTCCAAACGTGGGGTCATCAGGTCACTTTGAGCTTCAGGTGGAGGATAGCCACTCTGGCCATGGCGGGGTAACAATAGCCCATTAGCCTTTTATGGCTGAGGGGTCAAAAGGGCTTCTTTACCTTTTTTTTTTTTTTGCCAATTTTGGATATACAGCTGAATAAAAACAGCCACTATTCCTTCCAATCATGCTATTCTGCTCATGCACTTACAGACCAGACCTGTCTACTTTTTAAAAACGCATAAAATAGATGTAATAGCTCATCATGTTACCAAGGAATGCACTGAGCACACAGTCAAACGCTTACGTGACCCAACAGTCACTTGATCCAGATGTTACAAAGAAGTAGGTTTCCAGTAAGCGCCGATACCTCACAGTCGGAGATTTCCTGTGCATGTGTATGTAGACGGTGGTGTGTTAATGTGTGTGTTTCAGCAGGGTAAGAGGGGGTCAGCATGGAAAGACTGATGGAGGTCTGTGGAGAGGAGTGCACAGTCGGTCATTTTAAGAGCAGAGAGAAGAAAAAGGTAAAAAAAGAAATAAGAGAAGGAGAGCTTCCAGAAATGTGTCTGACCTGCTTCAAAGAGTCAAAGAACGAGTCGAGCTCAGGTGTAAAATCCTACTTTATATAGAATTCACTTTACTGTAGAACTCACATTTGAAATCATTTCAGTCACAAAAAGAGATGATAAAAAAATTAAATAAGAACTACTACACAATGAATACCTGAACCTTGCACAGAAACAACGTTTTACAGTCAGTGTGTGCGTGATTGTTAAAGCCTTCAGTTGTCCAGGCTCATGAGAAGAGCAGTTCCTCTCTTGATCCAGTGCTCTGGAGTCACAGCTCCAGATTTAAGTTCAACGCCCACAACAAAAGACGCTCGGCCTGCCCCACCAGCACGCACTGGGTAGTAGTAACACGGACACAGGTACGTACCTTCACACAGAGACACACAACTGAGTCAGTGAAACCACAAAGCGGGACAGAGAACAAAAACAAGAATCCAAACTAAGCAATTTATGGATGAACATAATAACACAGGTGACAAAAAACCACATGAAAATAAATAAAGTGGAACATAAAAAAAAGTTTGTGAAACGAAGTAAGGAATTTCACTCACTCTTGGCCATCTTCTTGCGGTTTTCCACTGGTTTGAAGTGGATGGTGGGTATAGGACAGACCATCTGCATGGGTTTAGCTTCCACCAAACAGGAGTTGTTCTTGTCCCAACCCCCTCCCTCTAAATACAAACCTCTGACGAAGACTCCGTCCTGGAGGGGCCAAAGAGACAGGTATGGAAGGCCATGAGCAGGAAAACGTGGAAAAAACATGGATTATAAATAGGTAAAGGGGAGGGGGAGTGATATAAACACTCGCTTGGAGGTGACTTCTTGCATTAAAGAAAACATGACTAACAGCTCTGCCAAGGAATTAGATAATGAAATGAGGAGAGGAAAGAAGAGGGAAGAGGAGAGCTGCAGAAAGAAAGATGGATGGCAAGAGGTGGTGGTGTTTGGGTGGCGGGGGTTACGGAGAAGCTAGAGTAGAGGCAGAGAAAGAAGAATAAGAATAAAACAAGGGTGGCTCAGAAAGGAGGTGAATGGGAAGCAGTAGGTCATGAGAGAGAACATGGGAACACAAGAGTGGTACAGAGAGGACAGGAAAAAGGAGGGTGTGAAGGAGGAGAACAGAAAGGGAAGGTGGGGGAGAAACCGGAGAATAAAATCGTTTGGACAGAAGGAAAAAGAGTCAAAGCTAAAAAAAAAATGAGGGAAAACATCAAGTTAAGAAATGATAGAAGTGCAGACTGGCACTGAAAAATCAAAGAGAGAGAAAAGAGATCAGGCATAGAAATTAAATAATTACAATGTAAGAAAATATGACCAATCAAAACATTTTACATGATCTATAAAAAAAACCAAACATCTAAACGTGAGTGTATTTGAGGGATGAAAATAGAGATGCTGCTTTGAATGAAAATAGATTGTTCTGGGAAAAACACAGCCAGTGTCTGAGTGAAGATGAAAGATGTGATGTAAAGCTGTAATGACAGCTGAAAGCTAATGGATCAGAAAAAGTAGCCCGGCGGCAGATTAGTGTCATTTTCTATACAATTTTAAGAAATACAATGTGTCTCACCTTTGGTGGGTAAAGGAGCTTGCTGTCATCTACAGTGGACACTATAAACTCCCAGGACAGCATGTCTACTGATATCTGCAGGGACACACAATAGAGTAGTTTTCATCAAATAAACACTGCGCAGCAAGCAAAGTAGGGTGTCTATATTATGTGTATTTTATGTGGTGTGAAATTTAATCTTCGCTGTTTAATCTTCAGTTTTGGAATCACGATTCACTGGGTTCAGCTCACAAAACCGTCTGTTAAAACAAGCTGAGACACTCAAAAATATATGGCCATCAATCACAAAGTGAGCGGGATTACATAACCGTCTTCTGTGCGCATGTGGTTGTGTGAATGCTCACGTTGCGTTGTCGAGCTGATGACTGCAGAACAGCAGTGAGGAAACCGTTGGGAAAGGTGAAACCGGACAGCCAGAACAAGTTGGGGGGCTGGGTCGTCTGTGCCCAGCGTGCAAACTGATCGACTCGCTGGCAAAGATCCCTGGTCCACGCTGCCAGGGGTTTCAGTGAGGGGTATGCCTAGAGGAGAGGGTGGGTGTGAGAGACGATGAGTGAGACGTGGAAAATCTACAACCATTTCATGCTTCCAGCTGTTGGCAGCTACTCAAAACAGGAACAAGTTCTGTTCAGTGCAGTCACACTGAGCACTGATGGCCTGTAGGTCTCATTAGCACACGAAACCGAACTGGTGAGTGAGAATTGAGAGGAAATGTACA